AACGGTTAACTTTAAACCTAGCCCAACCCCTGACTAGACTGACACACCACCACCACCACTATGTACTATGTATGATATAGCAGAAGGAAAGGCACACTCATCTCCAAGCATAATAATATTTATTTAAACATCTGTTTATACAATGTATCCAGCTTTCAGTTAGAAGAAAAAATTAATAAATATACATAAAGACAAAAAAACACAGTCTAAAGAGACAAAGCAATCATTAAAACTCAGACTCGTATGGCATAGATGTTAGAATTATCAGAAAGGAAATTTAAAACAACCATGATTAATATGGTGAAGGACTTAAGGGGAAAGGTCAACAACATGCATGCTCAGATAGCTAATTTCAGCAAATAGATGGAAACCATAAGGAAGAATAAAATGGAAATTATAGAAATAAAAATATAATAATAGGGATGAAGAATGCCTTCACTGGGCCCATTATTAGACTCAATACAGTTGAAGAAAAAAGATCAATAAACCTACAGGTAGGTGAATAGAAATTTCTGAAACACAAAGATAAAAAAAGAGTGATAAAAACAGAATGGAGCATCCAAGAGCCATGGGAAAATATCAACTACCAAATCAGGAAATAATGGCTGAGAATTTACAAAATTAGAGAGAGACATCAAACCAATGCAAGGAGCTCAGAGAACATCCAGCAGGATACCTTTCTTAAAAGGTGAGAAACTAGCCAGGCACAGTGGCTCATGCCTGTAATGAGCACTCTGGGAGGCTGATGCAGGAGGATCACTCAAGGTCAGGAGTTCAAAACCAGCCTGAGCAAGAGTGAGACCCTGTCTCTACTAAAAATAGAAATAAATTAATTGGCCAACTAAAAATATATAGAAAAAATTAGCCGGGCATGGTGGCGTATGTCTGTAGTCCCAGCTACTCAGGAGGCTGAGGCAGGAGGATTGCTTGAGCCCAGGAGTTTGAGGTTGCTGTGAGCTAGGCTGATGCCATGGCACTCTACCCTGGGCAGCAGAGTAAGACTCTGTATCAAAAAAAAAATGTAAGAAACTAAAGTTAAAATTAAGAAACTAAGATTATGACATTCAAACTGCTGACAACCAAAGACAGACAGAAAATCTCAAAGGCAGTCAGAGGAAAAAAGACACATTATCTACAAGAGAAAATGATAAGTACTGTAGCAAGCTTCTTCTCAGAAACCATGCAATTGAGGAGATAATGCAGTTACGTCTTTAAAGTGCTAACAGTGTCTATTCCTCTGAAACCATTTCTGGTACCAAATTATCCCAAAATTTAGCAACTTTAAAATTAGCATTTATTGTCTCACACAGTTTGGGTGGGTCAGAAATTTAGGAGTGGCCTGACTGGACGGTTCTAGCTCAGAGTTTCTCATAAAATTATAGTTAAGATATTATTCAGGAGGGGTGTAATCATATGGCTTAATTTGTTAATGTGGTACATACCATTAAGCCCATATGAGAATCTCTGTTTCCCTGGCAGTGAAAGCACTAATAACAGGAAAAATGGTTCAAATTATATGGCAGTGAGAAGGGTTGATGTTGGGTCGGGCTAAGTATATGGGTAGTTTATTTCCTCTTTGTAAGGGCTCCATAATACCTTGTAGTTACAAGTTACCAAGAACACTGCCCAACATCTACAGCTGATCTACCATTTCTGGGAGTTTTATTTATTATATATCTTACTTCAGAGAGGTGTACCTTTGGCTTCCTCTTAAGGTCAACAGTGTAGTCAATATTTCCCAGAGGTAGAGGAGTGGTTCAGTTTTCCTTCATCCTTTGTTTCCTGTCAGAAGACCTACCACACCACCACAGACTTCTTCTCTACACTGCTTCTGATGTCTAAGTAATTTTAGAATTCTGTTGAGAATATTCCCCTTTTCTGGTAGGATGAATCTGACCCTAAATAGCATACCAAAGACTTTGAGAACTGAACTATGAGTCCAGTTCTCAGGCCCCAGATTACCACCCAATCCCAAACTGGCCCTTAGGTTGCACTCATGTGGGACCTGTCATAATAGCATAACAAAGGCTTTGAAAACTGAACTAATATTGCAGCCCTCAGAAGGCTGGTCAGAACTTGTGGCCTGAACCCAACTGGGTTAGTTGCCTATTACAACATAAATATCAATATTCCCCACAGAATTTAAACAAGACCAAAAGCATCATAATAATATCCAAAATGTCCATAATATCAATCAAAATTGACATATGATGAACCAGGAAAATCTCAACTCACACTGGGAAGGAAATCAACAAATGCAAACTATGAGTTGCCACAGATGTTGGAATTATCAGAGACTAGAAAGCATCTATTCAAATGGAAAGATACAGAGTCTCAGAAAAGAAATAGAAGATATAAAGAATAACCATATGGAAATTTTAGAACTGAAAAATACAAAACCGTCATCACTTTTTATCAAGTGTACATACTATCAACATCACTTATCATATTAATGTTAACCTTGGTCACCTGGCTGAGCTAGTGTTTGATGGTTTTCTCCCCTGTAAAGTTATTCTCCCCCAATTTTACTCTTTAGCAGGAAGTCACTATATGAAGCCTAAAGAGAGAAGAATTATGCTTCACCTCCTTGAGAGGGGACATTCTTCTGCATGAGAAATTTGTCAGTTATCTCCAATTTATTTATTCAATTATTTATTTATATCCAAATGGACTCATGGATTCTTATTTTATACTTTGGGTTATAATACCAATATAGTTTGGATGTTTGTCCACTCCAAGTCTCAAGTTAAAATTTGACCCCCAATATTGGCAGTTGGGCCTAGTGGGAGGTGTTTGGGTTATAGGGGTGGATCCCCCATGAATGGTTTGGTGCCATCCCCTTGGTGATGAGTGAGTCCTCACTCTATTAGTTCTCACTCTATTCGCTGGTTGCTTAAAAGATCATGGGCACCTGTTCTCCTCCCTTCTTGCCTGTCTCCCGTCTCTTCTCTTTTCTTTTTCTTCTTTTCTCTCTCTCTTTCTCCCTCTCTTGCCATGTGACAACACCTGCTCCCCCTTTGCCTTCCACCATGATTAGAAGTTCCCTGAGGCCCTCACCAGAAGCAGATGCCAGTATGCACCTGTAGTCCCAGCTACTTGGGAGGCTGAGGCAAGAGGATCGCTTGAGCCCAGGAGTTTGAGGTTGCAGTGAGCTATGATGCCACCATTGCACTCTACCCAGGGAGACAGAATGAGACTCTGCCCCATACCCAAAAAAGAAAAGAACAAACATACAGATCAATGAAATAGAACTAAGAGTTCCACAATAACTCCATACATCTATGATCAATTGATTTTCAACTAGGGTGCCAAGAACCTTACCTATTCAATGAGGGAAGAATAGTCTTTTCAAGAAATGGTACTGGGGCCGGGCGGGGTGGCTCACGCCTGTAATCCTAGCACTCTGAGAGGCCGAGGCGGGTGGATTGCTCAAGGTCAGGAGTTCAAAACCAGCCTGAGCGAGACCCCGTCTCTACCATAAAAATAGAAAGAAATTAATTGGCCAACTAATATATATAATATAAAAATCAGCCGGGCATGGTGGCTCGTGCCTGTAGTCCCAGCTACTCGGGAGGCTGAGGCAGGAGGATCGCTTGAGCCCAGGAGTCTGAGGTTGCTGTGAGCGAGGCTGACGCCACGGCACTCACTCTAGCCTGGGCAAGAAAGCTAAAAAAAAAAAAAAGAAATGGTACTGGGACAGCCAGATATGCACATGCACTAGATAAAGTTAGACCCTTATACCATACACAAAAATTAACTCGAAATTGATTTTAGACCTAAATGTAAAAGTTGAAACTATAAAACTCTTAGATGGAAACAGATGTAAATCATCATGGCCATGAATTAAACAACAGTTTCCTAAATATGACACCAAAATCATAAGTAACAAAAGAAAAATATGGGTAAATTGGACTTTATCAAAATTTAAAACTTTTGTACATCAAAGAACACTCCCAAGAAAGTGAAAGACAAGCCACAGAATGGGAGAAAATATTTGGAAATCATATATATGGTGAGTATCTAATATCCAGAATATATAAAGAGCTCTTACAATGCAACAACAAAAATACAAATAACCCAATTTTAAAATGGGCAAAGGATTTGAATAGACATTTTTCAAAAGAAGATATACAAATGTCAAAAAATCATGAAAAATGTTCAACATCATTAGCCATTAGAGAAGTACGAATCAAAACTACAATGAGATATCACTTCACACCCACTAGGATTACTAGAATTAAAAAAAAAACCACTAAATAACAAGTTATGGTGAAGATGTAGCTAAATCGGAGGCCTCACACATTGCTGGTTGGAATGTAAAAATAGTGCAGCTACTGTGGAAAACAGTTTCCTGTTTTCCTCAAAAGGTAGATTAGACATAGAATTTCCATATGACCCAGCAATCCAATCCTGGGTATTTACCCAAGAGTACTGAAAACATATGTTCACACAAAAATTGGTACACAAGTGTTCATAGAAATATTCATATTGGCAAAAAAATGGAAACAATCCAACTGTCCAGAAATTGAAGAATGGATAACATACCAAATGATATACCAAATATGTTATATTCTAACAATGGAATAACCTTTAACCATAAAAAGGAATGAAGTTCTGATACATGCTATAACATGAACCTCAAAAATATTATGCTAAGTTAAAAAAGCCAGACACAAAAGACCACTATTGTATGATTCCATTTACATAAAGGCACAGAGGAATCCACAGAGACCAAAAGTAGACTGGTGGGTGCATATGTTTGGGGAAAAATAAGAGGTTGAGGGTAAAGGATATTGGTTTTTGTTTTTTTGAGTTGATGAAAATGTTCTAAAATTGATTGTGTTGATGGATATACAACTCTGTAAATATACTAGAAACTATTTAATTGTATACATTAAATGGGTGAATTTTATGGTGTATGAATTATATATCAGCAAAGCTGTTTTTCAAAGGGTGAAATAAGGAGAAATTGTACATGATGGCATTTGCTTTTTTCCTTTGTCACCTTGGCTAGAATATGACTAAAGTAGATAACAGATGCTTATGAAGCACTCCTGTGGCATCAAGAAAACTTATTTTTTTCCTAGTTGCCAAACCATCCCAACTCAATATCTTTCTTTAGAGATGAGCCTGCCTAACTTACTTGGCCGTAACTGGGATTCAGAAGGGGAAAACAAACCAGGTCACTGCTCTTTGCTGAGACGTTAAGGGCAAGGAAGAACTAAGGAGGGGGTGGGGTTCTGTAAAAAGGTGAGAGGGTAAAACACTGTCCAACAGAAATTACTCAAGGACACAAGAAGCTTGGTACTCAGATTTCAGTCATCCGCTGATTTACACTCTGATATAAACTTCTCTTGCTCTTATTCCTGAATCAGCAGTATAACAGCATTTTCTGTGTTGTAGTGGGGGTTATCATCTTAAAAAGTAGGGACTTGGTCCTACATGTGAGTTGCTGCTATGCTGGAGAACAGCTGCAGGGCGCCAAGTTGAGACTGAGAATCAAGCAGAATTCAGAGCTCTCAGTGTCAAAGGGACATAAGCCCCTGAATTCACAGTAATCTTCCTAAAGGATGTGGTTGGGTGTTTTAATAAATCTCCTCTGGTTATTAAGGGACATTGGGCTATACAGGCTTGGAGGACCAGAGTTTCCAGCTATAATATATGCTGCAGGACTTTGGCGCTGGGAAAGCAGACAATGTGGAACAACAAATAAGATAAATGAGTCACTGAGGCAGGAAGGATCATTGTCTTCAGCAACAGGAATGCCGACACAAGTAGTCAATATTTATTGAGCAGGGCAGGGGTGAGTCATGGTTTATGGAGGCTTCTGCTGGCTGACTGTTGAACTGAGCTCGTGAAAATTGTAATGCTGACACCACAGAATTTGAGTAAGAAGGTACAATCAGGAACTCTTCAAGGAAATGCTTTAGACACCAAGGCCTGCCATCACCCTTAGAAATCCCTCAGCAGCCTCTAATTTGTCATGGACATGAATCCCCACTCCATGGATGTTGGGAAGAAGATCCAATCAAAGGGTTTCCTTCAGGCAAGCCAGGTATCTTCATAACTCTGCAAAGTAATGAATCAAGCAGAAGCTGAGATTTTTCCTAAGTGTAAAGGGACCCTAAATGGAAATTCAGGAGGTACAATTGACTAGCACTCTCTTCCTGGTTCACTGGAAGGAATCATCAAATTGAAGGGGAAGGACGTTGGGAGATGGGTCGGGAGGGAGCAGTGGTCAGAACACATCTGCCTAGAACCTGGTTATCTGCTTTGTAACATGCAGAAGTTGTACTTCCCAGAAGGGTGAGGGACCCGCCCCAAGAGAAGGTCATTGGGACAGAGACATCAGTGGCAGGAAGAAAGAGTGTCCTTCTCACCTGCTTCTTGAAACTGCTCTTTGGTTTCCACCACTGGAAAGCTATCAGTTGGTTCCTTGTGTCTTCTGGTGCTCTCTGAAGTTGGGCGGTAGTTAGAGGAGGAAGATTTGTGCTTCTGGATCTTCCACCATCTCCCCAAACCCAGAAGCACAAGCTCCAAAAGAGTAAACAGGAGACAGAACCCACTGACCCCAAACATGGTCTTTAGGAAGATGGTCTTCTCAGAGGGGCGGGACAGAGTACAGGTTATACTACCAAGGCACGGCTCTCGACGACATGCAAAAGAGCTGGGCACCTGGAACCCATACAGATGGTACTGCCCTCCCAGGGCTGCCCCCTCAAGGGCCAGTCGAGCCCCCAGCTGTGCCACGTAGGCCCAGAGCAGCCGGGGGCTTCCAGCCCCTGGGGCACCTCTGCCGCTCTGCCCTGCGTGGAGCAGGGTCTCCTCCTCCTTCTTCACCTTTCCTGATTCTTCCCAGCGCCAGATCACATGATACAGGGTGAAAGCCACGTAGAGGGCGCTGGGAACAGCCACCAACATGACCTGGAAGGTCCAGAAGCGCAGTGGGGAGAGAGGGTGGAAGGCGTCAAAGCAGGCGGCCTTGCAGCCGGGCTGCTGGGTGTGACACACAAATTCACTCTGCTCATCGCCGTAGACGCCAGGCCCGCTGGCAGCCAGCAGCGCGAGGCGGAATCCCAGGAGCACGGGGAGCAGGAGGCGTCCCACGGGGGTGGAGTGCCCCGCCTCCTCCGCCAGCAGCCGCCGCAGGACGCAGCCACACATCCTGCTACAGAGCAGAGGACAGTCATCAGCCACTGCACGTGTGTCACTCACTGTCCTGTAGAGGGAGCTCCAGTCCGCCTTATCACTCCCAATCCAAGGATGGGAAGGCAAGCCTATTTGCTCCTCTCCAAGGATCTGGTTGATCAAATAGCAAGACTCTGAACTTATTTACTAGTTCATGAAATCGCCTCTGTAAATAGTGACGGGGGGGGGGCGGGGAGTGCCTCTCTCTTTCCGCCCTCCCCTTCTGTATGCTGGAGTGGAGAGGAACTCTCAGGCAGAGATCAGGGTCCTTCTTTGTTGCATTCCTTCCCTCCCTCTCTCTCTTTCCCAAAAACTACATCTAAGAGTCCAGACTGGCATTTTTGATTACTCACTTTGGCTTCCCCAGATGACGGGTGCCAGGTCTGGTGCTGCTAACAGTGCCATGGTAACAAAATCAGCGCTGACACAGGGAGGGAATGTTCATATTCTCATTCATTCTCATTCATTCATTCCTCATTCATTCTCTCTCTCTCTCTCTCTCTCTCTCTCTCTCTCTCTCTCTCTCTCTCTCTCTCCTTTGCCTGCAAATGCCCTTGGGCACGCACAATGTGTTTGGATAGCTCTCCCGTCAGAGCAGTGAGATTGAGATGCAGTTCTGTTAAAGAGTTAAATGGGGATGGGATGAAATGAACAGGGCAAGTGTCAAGGCTTGCTTCAGTCTGATGCCCTTGTAAGGCCTACCTTACTAGCTTAGGAAAAAGAGACTATTTTGAAGGTAACTCAGCAGAATTTACCAGAATTAAATGCTGTGGGATTGGGGGCCAAAGCCACAGCTGACCAGACAGAAATTGAAACTCTGATTCCTGTCTGCCATTGTTCTTTGGGCATATATCTCCCTCGTGGTAAGACATGACCACAGTCAGGGGCAGGCTTCAGAAATTCCTCAGTTCCCTGGACAAAATACCATCATGCTGCAAGCCCAAGTTTACCATCTTCATCTCTGTCCCAATCGGCAGTCTTCCCCAACACCCAGCAGCTCTTTCAAACCACCATTTAGCACAAACCCTCACACCCTGGTTTCTCTCATTCTCAGACCATGTGGTGTGGTCCGAATGTTCGTGTTCTCCCAAAATTCATATGTTGGAACCAAATACAGTCATTCCCCCCTTATCTTCAGTTTCCCTTTCCATAGTTTCAGTTACCCACAGTCTACCATGGTCCAAAAATAGTAAGTGGAAAAGTTCAGATATAAATAATTCATAAATTTTAAGTTGTGCACCTTTCTGGATAGGTGACAAAATCTCATGCTGTCCCTCTCCATCTCACCCATGTGAATAATTCCTTTGTCCAGCATATCCCCGCTGTAGACACTCCCCACCTGTTAGTCAGGTAGTAGTCGTCTGGGTTATCAGTCTACTGCCACAGTATCACAAAGCTTGTGTTCAAGTAACCTTCACTTTACTTAATAATAGCATCAAGACACAAGAGTAGTGATGCTGGCATATTTTTATAATTGTTCCATTTTATTATTAGTTATTGTTGTTAATCTTTTACTGTGCCTAATTTATAAAGTAAACTCTATCATAGGTGAGTATGTATAGGAAAAAACATATAGGATTTAGTACTATCCATGGTTTCAGGAATCCACTGGAAGTCTTGGGACGTATCACCCGTGCATAAGAGAGAACTGTTGTTCCCAAAGTGATGGTTTCACTTCCAACACTGGTATTGGGTTTCTCAACCTTGGCATTGTCTGGAGCCTGAAAATTCTTTGTTGGGGGTGGTCTGTCCTGTGCATTGTAGCATGTTGAACAGCACCTCTGGTCTCTACCCACTAAATGCCAGCAACACACCTCTCCCCTCCCATCTACATTGTGACAACCAAAACTGTCTCCAGACATTACCCAATGTCCCCTGGAGAGCAAACTCCCCCCTGGTTGAGAACCACTAGGTCAGGGTCACACTGAGCCATCAGTTTTCCACTCTTGGTCAGTTACCAGCTCTGCAAAGCAAGATGCCTGTACCAGAGCATCTCAAAGGGCTTTTCTAGCCTCCCATTTGATGGGGCCATGATAATCAGCCCATCTTCTGGGTTAGTCACACATCCTACCTCTGCCAGCCCCATCTGTGAGTGTGCCTGCAGCCCTGTCCTGCCTCATAAGTCTACGGGATCCCTGGATTTAAGGAAGGCAGCCCCAGAGCTCTGAAGGTGTCTGCCCTGGCTCTCTCAGAGAGTTAGCCGATTAAATGCTAATTTGGTAAATTCTCAAGCCTTGCTCTCAGCCTCATCTTATTTCAAAGTGCAGGCCAAGCATCCTCTGAACACATTTCTAGCACATTCCCCACAGACTTGGAATTGAACACAGGGCAGCAGACCTGGTATATTATAACTGTTAGGAACTTCAGGGGTTCCCAAAGGCCCTATCTCTGGTTCCTCTCTCTCCCACCACAGCTCATGACCGGACACCCAAATGTCCTCACAGAGACTCCCAGAACTGAGCTGAGGTCTCCAGAGCTCACCACAGAGCTTTGGGGGCTTGGAAAGGAGAGAGGAGCAACAGAGGGACTAAAAGACCTGCCTGAGGATGCCTTGGTTTAGACCTCCTGTATCTAATCCTAAGCACACTTCTTGCTATTCACCCGTGGCTGCTATTGCCAGAACAATGCTTATTTCACACACATTTATTTGGGGCCTCCTGGAGTGTGCAGACAAATTCATCTCCACCTCCCAATGTCTGCACACCAAAGGGAGCCTCCTATACAACAGCCCGTCCTCCCTCATCCCCTGTTTTCCTGGGACCCTGTGGTCTCCCCAGTCAGGTCCGGTTGTCCCACCCCATCTGTCTCCTTCTCTGAGACCCGCATCCTCGTCCCATGAACAAGTCTGCAGCTTTGCCCCACAGGGGACAGGGCCCCCAGGCCAAATTTCAGGGCCCAGAGAGCTGAGACAGAAGAAAGGGACTACCAAAGCTACCAAAACTCCCAGCTCAGCATTGTTGACAAAGCTCAGCTTAAAGGACACCCCTGTTTCTAAGAGTGGAGAAACAGTGTGCAAAATAAATTTGTTGATAAGTTAGCAGGATCTGAGCCCTCTCAGGATTTTTGTCAGTGAAACAAAAACTATGAGCTCCAGAGTTGGGAGAAGAAGGAAGGGCTTGAAGGGATTTTCAAATATTCTCACAGATTTTTTAAAATTCTGTCATGATTTTTGTAAGAATTTTTCTAAGCATCTCTTATTCTTTTGGAGAAAAAAATTCAGGATTCTATTGGTGGCAGAATCCATCTCAGAGAGCTACGGTGTGAGGGAGGGAATGTCCAGTCGGGAGGGCAGGACCTCGAGGTTCACAGCTCCATCTTGCTCCACCAAGCCTGGAAAATGTTCTAGATTCTTTTATTCACGGTATGGCCAGGGAGGAGCGACACTGGCATCACCAGGAATGCAGACTCTCGGGCCACACAGCCCAGGCTTGCAAAATCATATCAGAATTTTAATAATACACTCAGGTGACCTGTGTGGGCATCAGAGTCAGAGAAGCCTCTATAGAGCCCAGGGCAGCCCCCACCACCACCACCACCAGGCCCTGCACCAGCCCCGCCACTCTCTGCCCCTGCACTCACCTGGTATCTTTGACCAGAAGCAGCCACGACAGGGGAGAGAGGCAGCAAGAAGAGTCCTCAGACTGGAACCCGCAAGTCCCACTCTCCCCAGCGCTGCCTTCTGCCACCACCGCCCACTTCTTCCCCCTCCCCTTGTCATTCCTGGCAGCCTTCCTAAAGGGGAAAGGAATGGCAGCTGTAGCAGCAGCGGGCCCCTGCTCAGCTCTGCAAAACAGCTCTCTGTTGTTGAGGGTGAGGGGTGTTTTCTAAGGGAATTGAAGCAGGGATTTTCAGACCATCTGAAAGGGGGGTGGTGGCTCCAGTGTGTCTCTGACATCGGGGTTTGCAGACAACAACAGACGGAATTCCCATGAGTTTGAATCTCTACTAAGCCCTCCCACCCCCCATTTTCCTGCCCAAAGTACTCAAAGCACAAGTTTACCCACTGAAGAGTGTGTGCACATGTGTGCATAAGTGTGTACATGTATGTATGTCTGTGTTTGTATGTGTTGGCTTCATTTCCTCCAGCAGCCTTCATCTCAGAACTCATGGTGGCCTGGGATGTCCTTTTCTCTTGGCTGGGAGAAATCGCACAGGCTCCACTCATGGCATTGTGGGATTCTGCTCCGTGTGCTCTCAACCCAGGGAGCCCAGCCCCCATCAGCCAGGCCCATTGAGAACTGTGGCACCTGCCCCCCAATACCCCTTCCTGCCGCCATGGCCAGAGCCAGGATCCCCTCCAGAGACACAGTGGAAAGGTGAAAGGTCAAGGCAGGATGAGCAGGTGAGTGGGTGGGAATGTAAAGTGATGGGTCTGTTCTGTTACCTGAGGCAGCTCCCATGTCAACACTGGACTCTTCAAGGCAGAGGAGATGCTGCAAGGAACCTCAGGTCCAGATACTGCCCTGGCTCAGGTGCAGGGTTCAGCCACAATATTCCTTCTCTCTGTGTCACTTCCTGGGCACAAACACCTCCTCATAACCCAGGACTGAATCAGCACCCACCACCCCAAATCCTATTCCCTGATGGCCTTGTTTTTCCCTAGACCCTGTCCAGGACCCTGATTCCTTCTTGTTTAAGGCTTTCCAAAATATCTGCTGCCAGCAATCAGCTCTGCAGAACCGGAGGTCCCTGCAGGGACCAGATGTCCTCATTCTCTGGTGCTCTCCATAGGTTCAAGGTTGGACTCTTAAGAACATTTCCCAGCAGCAGAGCTCCCTACTACTTCACAAGGGTGGCTATCCTCAGTGCCTCTGGGAAGCCTCACATGGTTCCCAGAGGAGAGCAGCTTGCAGGCCATCCTAGGAGAAAACAACATCCAAAGAGAAATCCTCTTGGCATCACTCTCTCTAAAGCAGAAAAAAAATGAACACAAAATATCATGTGAGAAGATTATATTGAGAGTGTACACAAATTATAAAGTATTTCTAAGTGCATCAGGATGTAACTTGGCAAGGACGTGAAAAAACCATTCATAGAAAAGGTCATTCAAAGCTTGTAAATACTTGATCTAGGCAGGAATCAAAGAAATAGTAAAATCTCAATGAAATACTATTTTTACCCACTCATCAAAGACTATTACCAATGACCCAACATCCACTCTTCCCTTTTTCCTTAGTAGGGAAATCCTGGTTTTACTTAATGTGCCTGGTGAAAAGGTGACATTTCCAAGCACTCTTTGCAGTTAGGGGTGACCTAACACTTCTGTGATTTCCTTTTTGCCTTCATATTATATATTTTAGATTCATACATGTTAATATGAGTATGAATATGAGTAATACTCATACATGCAGTTGAAGTTTATTAATGTTCACTTCTGTGTAGTCCTTCATTGTTTAAATTGACCACAGTTATTTTTGTCTTCTAATGTTGATGGACATTTGGGTTGTTTCCATTTTTTTCTGCTTTAACAACGCTGCTATGCATTCTTACCCACTTCTATTTCTGCATGTATGCAAGATTTTCTTTAGAGTGTTTACCTAGGAGGAATGACTAGATTGTACATTTTATGAGGCGATTTCCAAAAATTCATGGAAAATGAAATTAAAATAATAGATAAAAGATAAAATAAAAAATATAGGTGAAGACACTTTTGTAAGTGATGATACCAGGACTGAGGGTTCTTGGAGTTTAACCATGTCAGTTCAGTCCTTTTTACATTATTAACTGAAAAAAAAATGGATCCCCTTTACAGATTTTTTAGGATTAGGAAACAAAAAGAAGTCAGAAGGAGCCAAATCAGGTGAAGGTGGATGCCTAAAGATTTCCCATCAAAACTCTTGCAAAATTGCCCTTGTTTGATGAGAGGAATGAGCAGGAGCATTGTCGTAGTGGAGAAGAACTCTCCAGTGAAGATTTCTAGGGCATTTTTCTGCTAAAGCTTTGGCTAACTTTCTCCAAACATTCTCATAATAAGCAGGCAGTATCATTTTTTGGCCCTCCAGAAAGTCAATGGGCAAAATGCCTTGTGCATCCCAAAAAAACTGTTGCCATGGCCTTTGCTCTTGACTGGTCCACTTTTGCTTGGACTGAACTTCCACCTCTTGAGGTAGCTACACAATTGCTTTGATTGTGCTTTGTCATCAGGATCATACTGGTGAAGCCGTGTTTCATCTCCTGTTACAATTCTTTAACAGATCCTTAGGATCTTGATCCCACTTTCTAAAAATTTCCATTGAAAGCTTTGCTCTTGTCTGCAGCTGATCTGGGCACAAAGGTTTTGGCACCCAGTGAGAGTAGAAAGTTTGCTCGACTTTGATTTTTTCAATCAGAATTATGTAAGCTGAACCAACTGAGATGTCTATAGCGTTGGCTGTCATTTCTGCTGTTAACCATCAGTTCTCTTCAATTAGAGAATGAACAAGATTAATTTTGTACTCACAAATTGATGTGTATTATCTGCTATTGTGGGCTTCATCTTTATGCTTTCAAGATTCTCTGTTTTTTATTTTGTCTTTGGCTTTTGACAGTTTGACTATGATATGTATAAGTGTGGATGTTTTTGAGTTTGTTGAGATTCTTAAATGTGTAGATTAATATTTTCATCAAATTTGAGGCATTTATAGCCATATGTGTCCATGGAAAAACTATTTTCTATTAGCCATCTCCATACACCCCTGCAGGTCAGGACCCTTTGGCCATCATTTCAACCCTGCTGATCATTATGATAATTATGGCCACCTTGCTTCTGATGTTTAAGTGCTGTCAACTAGCCCCTGCTAATTCAGGATCCTATCATCCCTATTGCTATTGGAGAGCCAGTTGTAGCCTCAGTCTACAAAGGATGGACACTACTGAGATTTTCATAGTTATTATAATCCCCTTTACCAGCACGTTCACTATTGCTTCATTAAAAATGAATGTTCTCCAGGACTTCCAAGCAATATAGTCTGGCAGCGGACTTTCCAATCTTTTATTATGGATCTGTTCTCCCATGTCCATTTCTCTAGAACTTTAAACACTTTATTCACAATTTTCCATAAGTATTCTAACATCTCAACTTTGTTAATGGAAGCTCTTGCTTTTTCCAAGTTCTCAAAAGCCATCCCAGCAGCATATTATATCAACCTCATAAGAATAATCTTGCTAGGCTATTAAACCCAGTGTCACATGAGAATGTCCTATATTGACCAACTCCCATATCCAGCTTTATATTTTACCCTCCTCTCTTTGATCTAGGATGTTCAAAATTTACTCTCTAATCTACTTTTCTTGTTCCTGATGACACATGTTATCCAAGTCCTGCAGCTCCTTTGGTATCTAATACTTAGTAAGTCTAGCACTTCCCCAATTTTGGTATGCTGAGATTTGACCCTTATTATGGGTCTGGTGGCCAAAAGGAGAGGTGGGAACATATCTTGAGAAGAGCCAGAATTTTCTTACAATGCATTTGTCTGGTTTAAGAATTTTGCAAGGTTATCAAGCAAATGTGGGCCTCTATCTTTCAACAAAAAGAGTTGACTACTTCTGCAAACCAGATAATTCAGAAGAATTCAGGATCTCAAAAGGCATCTACTTAATATCACCACCCCAAGCCTCAGGGTGTTATTCTTCCCTGCTGTGGTCCTGACTTGGAACTGGAGACTTGCCTAGGCTAAAAATTCAACTTTCTCTGAAGTCATACCACTCTTACAATTAAGTCCTCAGCCTGATCTGTCTGCCCTCAGGCAACTAAAGATAAATACTGCCAAGAAGGCATTCTAACTCTTATATTTTGCTTTAAATTGGTTACTTACTGCCCTTAGCCTGACAGTTTTTTTTCTTCAAGGCATCAGTGTTGCTCAGTAATAGCCACCCAATTCCAAAGTCCTTATATGTACAATTTGTCTCATATCTTTTAAATGCTAGACATGTTGCATGAGCCAGTGCATCTACTTCCACCAGTATCCCAGCCAGTTTACCCCAAGTAAAAGTCTGAACCACTGCACTGCTAAAGCATGCCTAATAATACTTCACCTACCATCAACAGTGCTGTCTGCTTTGCCAGAGGATTGACAAGTGACCCAGCCTTAGAATCTGATTCTCATATTGTGCTTCTAGGACCACTCTACATACCCACCATCATAGATTTGGTTTCCTAGAAGCAGAGCCTAACAGAGATTTGAATACATGTGATTTTTTTAGATTGGACTCCTCAGTGAAAGGTCTGTAAGGAAATGAGGGAAGCAGAAAAGGCAATATAAATAAAGCTGTGCAATGATGTGATCTAGGTAAAGTCTGAACTTGGTCTCATCCAAATGGGACTCTGAAGCATAAATCATATCACAGATTTAGTCCTCTTGAGATAAAGGGGTTGATCTTTTGTGCCCCAGTATCATTTAGTCACTGGCACTGGGAAGCCACAGCAGAGAGGAAGGACTCATATTCTTCCAGGTGAGGCCATCTCTTTAGAGAAGAAGAGACTCCATGAGCCAATAACACCCAGCATTAACGAAAACTTGGGAATGGGTGCTTCAGTCCAGAAGAGGGAATCTAGATAGGGCACTAACAGCAGATAAGAATGAAAGATGTCTTGTTGAAAGCAATACAAGCTAGAAGACGGTGGAAAAATATCTTGAAAGTACTCAAAGAAATAAACTGTCAACCTGCAATTAAATACCCAGCAAAAAGTTCTTTCAAAAACTAAGACAAGGGGGGAGGGGAGGGGGGGCGGGTATATACATACATAATGAGTGACATGTGCACCATCTGAGGGATGGTCATGCTGGAAACTCAGACTTGTGGGGGGAGGGGGGAAAGGGCATTTATTGAAACCTTAAAATCTGTACCCCCATAATATGCCGAAATAAAAAAAAAAAACTAAGACAAAATAAGGACTTTTTCAGATATACAATAGCTGAAAGAATTCATCACCAGTAGGAATGAAATAATTTATGCACTATAATAAATATTAAAGGAAGTCCTTTGTGCTAAAAGAAAATGATACCAGATGGAAATTTGCATCTACATGAAAGAATAAAGAAATGGTAACTAAGTGGGTAAATGTAAAGATTATTTTCATTATTATTTAAATCTCTTTAAAGATAATTAATTGCTTACAGCAAAAATATATAACAACGTAGTATTGAGTTAATAATATATAGAGAGGTAGGATATATGTTAACAATTACCTAAAAGCCAGGAGGGAAGAAATGGGAATGTACCATGTTTCCCAAAAAATAAGACAGGGTCTTATATTTATTTTTCCTCAAGAAGACACCCTAGGGCTTATTTTCAGGGGATGTGTTCTTTTTTTTAAGTACGGTACAACAATCTACATTTATTCAAATATAGTTAAGTTGTCTTTATCTGGAACATCATCATAACTCTCCAAACCCCGAATTCCATCCTGAATTTCTTGCGATTCTATTTCCTTTAGAACCATTGGCCCCAATCTCTCATGTCGAGGAATAGAGATCTCATTAAATGAGCAGGGCTGGCTTATTTATCAGAGATCCAGTGAGCACTGGGTCCAGTCTGCACAGTGGAGCAGAAATGATCTCTCTGGGCTCAGTAGGAGACTGCCTGCTGAAGCTTTTCCCCATCCCCTGGTGTTTGTGAGGGTGAGAGAGGCCCACAGTGCTGAGTAAAATGGCAGCCACAGCTTTCCTTCTTCCCCCTGGGGACACACAATATCTAAAGTGGAGCATCCCGCTCCTCACTTCACTGAGGAGACTTTCCCCTCAAAGCCTCAGCTTGCAGCACGCACAGGATGGCCAGGACCTGACAGGGGGAGCCGACCTTGTTGGTGGGGCTGCCCACACCTTTCCGGTCACCTCTGGGATAGTAGCTGTCATGATGGGGCAGATGAGAAGGGCTGCTCATCTTCTTTACTGCTCTGCAACGAAATGCATGGGTTGTGCAGATACGCTGCATAGCCACGCGCATCACTAGGTCTATTTTCAGGGTTGGACTTACATTGGGCAAATGCTTAGAAATCCTGCTAGAGCTTATTTTATGGGTAGGTCTTATTTTCGGGGAAACACGGTATGTTGTGTAGGCTGGCCTTAAACTCCTGGGCTCAAGCAATCCTGTGTAGCTGGAATTATAGGCATGCGTCATGGTGCCTGGCCATTTTGTTCTGAGTCATGAAAATGCACTTCACAGAGGAAATCCTAATGGCTAATAAACAAATAAAACGTTTCCAGAGTCAACTCTTTGCCCTCTGCTGAATTGTTTCTCAAGGAGGACCCACAGTGTCAGGTGTGCTCAGCACATTTTTGCTCACAGCATGTGATTATACTCTTGCAAACTGAGAACTGCGACCCCACCACTTGGGGCTATGCAGATGGTCCAGCCACAGTGACCAAAGTCCTTGTCTAAAGGTCTTAATTGGGGGTGGAAAGTGGGGAGATGCACAGGCCCGAGGAATAGGGACACTTTTCAAAGTTGCATGAATTTCTCCTGATTCCTCAATGGCTCCATTTATAAATGTCCACTGCCCTGGGTCAGTGTGGGCATCAAGGGAGGAGGCTAAGGGTGGTGCTGAGGATTGGGGGTGAAGAGGGCTTTGCCTGTTTCTAAGCTTCTGACAGGACCCTAAAGCACCAAGACAAACTTCTCTTTCACAATGATTATCTGAGGAGTGGTGCCAAGAAAGAAGTCCCCAAGGCTCAAGGGAGCTCTCATTCCACTTCTTTATTCTACCAACAATGCTCTCCTTGTCTTTCTTCTTCCCACCAGACAAGACCAGCCTCCTCCCACGGCCATATGTTGATGACATGTGCCAAGGCCTGGGCAACAGGGCACCCAGGGTGCATGGATCACTCAAGGGTAGGGAGTGGAGAGAAGTGTGGAAACCTAGCATCTATGTACCCCAAGAATGATGGCAGCAGGGATATTTCTTCTTCCTCCCTCCCTCTTTTCCACGGCTGGATTTATCTACCAGGTTTTGGGGAGAGTGAGAGACACAAGGAACAAAGGTTGAAGAGGACTTAGCAGAAGGAAAATGCCAGAACTAAAATGAAAACCTCTCCCCACGGAGTTGGATGAAATTGCACTGGGCCTGGAATACAATGTGACCTGGAGAAAAGGGGGCTAAACTAGTGCTGGGCCCATCAACAAACAGAAATCTCGAGGAAAACAGAACTATAAACTGATGATTTCTTAAGTCTGCAGAGGTTTCAAATAAGTACCATTTACAAATAGTCAGCAAATACATGTCTTTCTTATTAATACAGCAAAGATTCAAGCACAAACAACTGGTGATATGGAGGCAGCACCCTGGTTTTATTCCATACTGATCCCTTCTGGTTAATTGCCTGAATTTTCTAATAAATTCTCCTTCCTGCACTTTCTTCCATATAAAGACAAGTCCTTCTGCCCGTGTGAGCATGCAATGCCAGGAGACTGAGGAAAGAAAGGTTGGGCAGAAGGAGGGTGTAGGCATCTCTTGACCCCAAGAACCAGGTCCTCCTTCTTGACCCTGGCTGCCCCACAGGGGGACTCCACAGTTGACCTCATACCTCCAAGTCCTCTCTACTTCCACAGGTCCTTACTCTCTTTCTCTACATCAGACTGTCCAGACCCAGTGAACTCCTCTCTAGGTCTCAGGCCACCACCTTCCCCAATGACCAGGCCTTCTTCCGCCATGATTTTAATGACAGGAAGACAGATTCCCCAGGACCCTAGAGCCAGGTGGTGGGGATGGAGGAAGACCAGAGAGTAAATCTCAGTGGCAACCTTGAAAGACATCATGGACTATTCCAAGGACAGAGAAATCCAATGGACTGAGGGTTGCGGTTGGCAGGTGGGCTCATGCTGTTTTCACAAACTCATGGGGCAGCCCCAAGAGGGTGTGAAAAGAGGGTTAGCAGGAAGAAGATATCAGCACCCCAAAGGAGAAACAAAGGGCACAAGTAGAAATGCACAGACATGTCCTCATCCCCAACCCTTCTTCTTTCCTCATCACTCCCCCCATCCTCACTGCAGTCCTCAGCTCACCCAGGGAGTGACGTCAGAGTCACTTCTCATCCAGGCACCTCTGACCTCTCTCCTCCACACCCCCATCCACCTGAGGGTCTCCCTCTTTAAAAGGTGTCGGACTTAGCTTCACGTGGTGGCTCTGCCAGTCACTAGCTATTTGACAGTGAGCAGGTGACTTAATTATATGGGCTGCATTGCACAAGTGAGTAGTTGTGCAAATTCAAGGTAACAAAAGCAGCCTGGTACCCCTGCTTTATCTGATTTATCTATATAAAACTATAAACTATAAAAAAAAAAAGCAGCCTGTAGGAGCTTCATGTGGGCAGGGAAGGTTTGTGTCTTTTTTTATTATTATTATTTTAGCATATTATGGGGGTACAAGTGTTAAGGTTACATATATAGCCCATGCCCCCCCCCCAAGGTTTGTGTCTTGATCTACCCAATAACCCATTGCCCAGAACAATGCTCAGCATTTAGAACTTGCTCTGTAAATACAGTCCAGAGTTTGCAGTCCACACTGGGTGCTCATAAAACATTGTTTTCCTTTCCATAGACTGTGACATCTGCATGGAGCCCTAAGTAGTCAGTGTGCAACTGAGGAAAAAGACTAGGAATACAGAACACATGCAGGCCACACAGACTGCCAGATGTGGTGCAAGACTAAAGGCCAATTCCTCAGACCAGATAAACCATTGCTATAAGGCATGGAATAAGGAGTTATGGGTGGGGTTAGTGAACAAAATGTCCAAAGTGCAGACAGTCTGGCTCCAAGAGAAGAAATCAGACCAGCAGCCTGAACTATCTCCTAAGTAGGAGGGATGAAGGCACAGAGGACAGGGAAGGACACTGGCTGGAACAGAAAAGTCATGGACGGAGTCATGGGATGATCAGCACTAGGGATTTATAATAAATGGGATTTACCAAGTACAAGTTATCCCATTTAATTCTCACCCCCCCAAAAAAATCCTCTGTGATAAAGCTATGACTATATTATCCATTTTAATGATGAAGAAATTGAAGCACAGAGGAATTAAGTAACTTGCCCAACGTCACAAATTTAGCAGGTAGTTGTGGAGCTGGGATTCAAACCTGTTTATAAAAACTGGGTCATCAACCATAATGCTTACTCTATTGGGTAAGCACTAAGTAAAGGTTGCACTGAAGCCCCAGAAAGTGGGGCTTCAGGGAGGGGGAAAACAATGGAGAATTATTGAGACTCGGTGGAGGAGAAGGGAACATCAAGAATTTGGGATGGGAATGATATAAGCAGGGTAAACGATTAGAAGTAATCATTCTACAATCACTAGACAGTGCAGATGGATTCTTAGATCACAAGTCGCAAAAAAGTCTAAGTAAGGTTAAAAACAATTTTCATTTGGATTTGGAACACTTGTGAATGTTATCATGCCTGGTTCTTTTAGCATTTATCTCTTAGTAAAATATGCAAAGAAATAAACTCTGCTATCAGACTTCAAGCGGTTGTAAATCTGATTTTTCTCTCCCAGCCCGCTGATGGGCTCCCTCTTGTGGCAAAACGTGATATTACTCCTAAGACTCAGGAAACACCAACAAGCTTAAGAGTAAATGTCTGGTTCCGCCCTTACTAAGTGAAGACATTAAGAGTTTTGTTTTCAAAAACCTTTTTTCCTACTGGGTTGCAAATTTCATTGGGTACGAACAACTAGAGATGGGGAAGGTTGTGCTAGAAAAGAGGAGAGAT